GGGGGGGGGGGGCAAAGACTGCATTAAATACCCCTATTGGAGACAAAAACTCACACATTGCAGTTGATATGAGTCACCCTCACTAAGGTGGCGACACTGAACATACACCCCCCTACCCCCCAGGGTGTTACCATCCACAAGCAGACATAAAGATCAGACATACAGACCTGCAAACTGCTACAGACTGCTGTGTTTTTGTGTTTTTCTGCTGGATGGACAAGCTGACAGACACATAGACAGTGCGGGGCAGAAGAGGGGGTTGACTGTGCAAAACTGTGCATGCCAGAAAGCCAGCCACTCTTCTGGGAACGTAGAGATGGTAAAAGAGATAGGAATGAGGGTGGGTGGACCCTCTGTGAGCCAAATGAGAGGAATGAGATCTGAGGGAGAGATGGGGGAGAGGGTCAGGGAAGAGAGAGCACACACATTCAGCAGGGAGAAAAGAAAAAAAAAAGGAGAGAGAGACTAAATAAAGAAAAAGAAAATAAGAGAGCGCAGACTAGTTGGGACATGAAAGCAGTCCGGGAAACCAGCTCTTACAGTAAACAGAGGCAAAACGGAGCTTGAAATGTCAGCAAACATTTGTCTTGCTCATATCCCAAGTTTCACAGAAGCCAATCATAAGCTGAAGCAGAAATGTCGCAGACTGTAATTCAAACATTAAACGTACCGATGGTGGAAATGTACGTAGAGTTGAAATTGTCCTCAGCAAAACGAATGATCAGACACGTTTTTCCCACTCCGCTGTCCCCGATGAGTAACAGTTTGAAAAGGAAATCATACTTTTTCGCCATGGTCGAAGTTGTTCTTCAAGCAGAAGTCAAAGCAGGAGCGGGGAAAGTTTGGTCTGTCTCTTCACCGGAGATCTTCTCATCCACCACCAAACGCGTTAAATCTCGATTTCTTTTCCTTGTGACTTAAAATAAGCAATCTCCTGCGAGTGGATCCTCTTCTTTTTCCTCTTTTCACTCTCAGACTTGTCACCGGTAAATTCCGATCCTCCTCCGTGTTGTGTTTGGACTGCGCAGGATAAAGTTGTACAGACTCTTTCAGATCAGCCCTCATGTATTAAAGTTTCATTCCGCTGCAATTAGAGAGTCGTTATTATCCCGTTTACAAGCATATCGGGGTGGGAACAAGTTTATCCAGTCTGCAGAAATACCACTTTAAAAAAAAAGAAAACGGAACTTGCTGTCGGCCCCAATCCCACAGCAGCTACGTGTGGGAGAGCTTTATGGGAGTGAACGGTTCACAGTTCGCAGGCACTCACTCAGCACGGACACTAGGTGGCACCATTTGATCAGTAAACACGTGTGTATGGACCGATACAAGTGAAAAAGTTGGTTTAAACAACATGTGCTCTTTCCTTACATCCTCCATGACATAAAATGATATTAATAAATCTATAATCTATAATCATGGGGTTTTCTTGTTGAGAAATGCTCTTGGATAACTCTAACAGCATTGCTCAACTTTGATTCCTTCTCAGTCATTTGATTATTAAAGGAAATAATCAGGAATTGAGGTTGAAGTAAAAAATATTCAAAAACAGTAAAATGCTGCTTAAAGTCCTTCTGCATTCATGTAATTCTCCCTCACTGAAGAGTACTTTTACTTAAACCTTTACTTAAGTAACATAATGCAGGGCCTTTACTTGGAGTACGTTTTAAGTGAATACTTTGTACCCTTAATAAGACAAAGCAATACAAAGCTAACATTGTTTATGAAGCTTAATCAAATAACAACTAATGTTCTACATCCCTGCAAGAAAGAGACTGTTGGATATCAGAGTCATCGTTTAAAATGTGACCACCAAGCATGAAAGTTGGCCTCGACAGAAGAATATATGTAAAATGACACTTTCTTAATTCTGCTCAGTGCTTTTGTAGCTCCAGTCTAACCTGCACCACCTACAAGAAGAGAAGGACACTGTAACTTTCCCCAGTTGTCACCTACAGGTAACAACAGTTCCCCTCTGACTTTCTCGGGTGTTTATGTCTCTAGACCGGAGGTCATTTTAGTTCATACAGGCCGGACCACTAAAGCCAACTTAGATTTATTTATCTAATATCTCTGTTTGTGTGTTACCATCCAACCCTGCAGATCACAGCGGGTTCACAGAGGCACACTTTTTACATGTAAAGTATTTTGGAACATAACAAAATATATTTTTACTGTCCTTTATTTTCCACTCCTAGTGGATGCTGACATCATTACATTGAATTTATTTTACTGGGTGAAAAACAAACAAACAAACATGTTTTTAAAGACTTCTTTATAACGACACTTTGAAAAATCGTGCAGATGGTCGATTTGGGGCATTTGATAGCCCAGTCTTTGCTCCCCTGACTTATAACAAAAATTGTTGACTTGAGCATATTCAGACGGACACACTTAAGGGTTTAAGCTCGCGTGTTTCACGTGTAGATGATGAGGGGTCTGACCTACTTTTCAACAATTCTAATTGTTGAAAAAAGTATTTAAATTACAGGATAATCGTCTGCTTTGTCAGGAAATCGCTATACAGTTAGAAGATTTAATCAAATGCGACAGAAAACCATGAAAATTGTATTCACGGTGTATTTACACGATTAAGTTATTTTCAAGCATTCATTTGATGTTATCTAACGAATAATTTCACGTAAACACCGACGAGTATTTTTATTTTTTCTTCCTCCAGGTCTTCCTCCCAGTCAGTCAGCAGTTTCCGGTACGTGGACGGCGGGTCTTTTTCCGGTGAGAGTCCAAACACGCAGACATGCCTGTAAGTAACAAAAGCGTCTTTGTACCTACTAACTTGCCTCAGTCGATAAAGTGTGCTTTTATAACGCGGTTAAAATATTTTACAGCTTAAAAAGTGCGTTTTAAAAATAATCCGTCAGCAGTTTTTTTTCCTTTAATGTAAACGTAAAGATGTGAACGAGCGCAATATGGCGAAACACGTGCTCAACGAGCAACCCACGAGGCTCGCTGACAGCACACGGCATCGCTTTAAGTCTCAGCATTGAGTGTATTTAATGCCTTTATTGGGGAGGAAGCTGGTTGATGTCGCGCATTAATGTTAGTCAGCAGTCTGATAACTGGGTGTCGTGCTCGTCTGATTACCTGTGACATATGTTGGGTGTTGTGGGGGTTAATTAAACTCTTAACGATGTTTCATCTGATTGCTTTTTTTTTTAACGGCATCGCTGCGATTGCTTCAAGAGTATTCCGATAATTTCATTTTAACACTTTCCAGTTTCCTTATCCGAGAAGTGTATCGAGGTCTCGACCTTTGCCTCGCTGTAACTGAGGCCTACAACCGCAGCAGTTTAATTACATGTTAAAGCACCTTCCGGTTAATTTTTTTTATTAATTATTTATTTATTTATTTTCAAAGCTCGTGTTTAAAATAAAATAAAATGAAAAAAAAATGTTGCTTTCCTCCCCCAGCTCGCGAAGGATCTTTTGCACCCAACCCCCGAGCAGGAAAAGAGACGACACAAGAAAAAGCGTCTTGTTCAGAGTCCTAACTCCTATTTTATGGATGTCAAGTGTCCAGGTCAGTTTACTTATGAGTTGTACTTAAGATTTAAATGGAAACATGTCCACTAACAATAAGCACATTTGCTTGAGTTCTGCAGCTAATTACAGTTTTAAATCAAAGTGGTGTATTTCCCATTTGTAAGTCATGGTGCAGGCGAAGTATTTACTTGGGTAATTTAATGTTTTGGAAAACCTTTGAGCACTTCTTCCACTCCTGTGCTACACTTGCCTTTATGTGTTGCCCTTTCATTGCTTCGTTAGTGATTGGGGTGTCAAGTAAGGCATACAGTGACGGTTGTGGCCGTTTGTGACATGAGCTTCAAGTGACTCTTCTACACAAACGGCTGCAACGACACACCAGTCATCAGGAGTACTCCTGACATCTTGTTGTTGTTGTTGTTGTTTAACTGGTTTGTGTGCTGTTTGCAGGGTGCTACAAGATCACCACAGTCTTCAGTCATGCTCAGACTGTAGTTCTGTGTGTCGGCTGCTCCACGGTCCTGTGCCAGCCGACAGGAGGGAAAGCTCGCCTGACAGAAGGTACAGGGAAACCAGAAATCGCAACTATATGTGTAGAACTACACAAATGGCGAGAGGGGGGTGGTGCTTAAAGATTTAAATTTGGGATTCTTTTGGAGGATTCTCTAATGGCAACGATAGAGAGGGGAAACAACTTTTAAAAGCTTGTTTTTAAAAACATTTTCGGGAGTTTTTGTCTAAATCTAATATTTTTTGCATTTGATGCAAATTTAGACGGAAGCTACTTTTAGCTGCCCCCATGTTTGTTTCGGCAGAGCTGTGTTGGGTGGTGTTCTTCCTGATGTAATCTAGATTTGTCTCCCCTCTGGGGTGACTGTTGCTCTGGATTGGCACTACGTAAATAAAACTGAATTATATTTTAATGACCCAAGGCAGACGCTTTTCCCTAAATCCCCAGATTTTGTGGCCGGAGATGAGTGGTCGAACTTGACTGTACACACTCTCAGTTACTCTTTCACATTTGCCTTTGTGTTGCCCTTTCATTGTTTTCTTCATGAACAGGGTGTCAACTAAGGCACACAGTAACTCTTGTGGTTGTGAGAGGAATTCATCATCACTGATCCATTCCTACACAATCGGCTGCAAGCACAACGTTTCATTTACACACATTTTATTTAATTTATTTATTTTTTTCAGATTAACAGGTAGGCCCAGTATAGATTTAAGGTGATAGGTCTCCTTTAAAGAGGACATGAAATGAAATGGGGAAAATCCAGCTGTTACCTGTAATATTTGGGTTTGTAAAGCACTGTATAAATGAGGAGCGATTGGAGGAGAGCCTGTTTGAGTCACCAGGCCGACAAGTTGGAGTTCAGCATTTCCAGCTTTTCCTCATCAGGCCGGGTGTACCGAGCTGTGCAGTCAAGCAAAGCAGATGTTCGCATGATGCGATCAGCACTTTTTTTTGTGCAATAAAATATTTTCTTTTCCCAACACAGCCAAGCAGTTTATATTACTCTGCACAAGTCACTACATGTGCATCACACCAAAAACATAACTATTTCTTAACAAATGCAACTGGAAATCCCAACATTCATCAGCATGTACGCAGGGAAAAAATCTCCACCTTACAGTTTCCTTCACTTACATTTCCTCACTTCTAAACTGAAGTAATCCAGTCAGTGAGATGACGTGAGGAAAATACAAAAGATCTCCAAAAAGTATGGCATCTCTTCCTCTGAGCCTCGACTTTTTTTTTTCTTTTCTTTTCCTTCTTTTTGCACACGTTGACCTATTTTCCCTGCAGACGTGATGGGATTCCTGGTCATGCTTCGCTAAGAAACATAGTTATATGTGCTTGGGAAGAGGGAAATTATTTTACTGCATAAAATAGCGCTGATCGCATCAGGTGATTGCACCGCTCAGCCCGACACCCGGCCCGATGAGGAAAAATCAGTTTCTGTTGGTCCGTTTAACAACCTGTCACTTGTATGTAAATTAGCCTTTATATGTGTAGCGTTTCATGTCCTCAGGGTTCAAGGTTCAATTTTACTGATATTGTCATCGTCACAGCCACCCCACGCTGCTGTGGTAACAGGAGCTTCTTAGCAAGAACTGAGCAATAAAACCACGAGTGTGGTGGTGATTCAGCCTTTGTGAAGGCAGATGGTAGCCTGAGCTTCACTGTTAGGTGAATGTCTTCTTGTTAGGGAGTCAGTTGATACACCTTGCTGCAAGATTGGCCGTTTTTATAGGCTGTCGATATTTATGGAGGATTATAAGGTTGTAATATAACCAAGACTTCTCTAAGTGTTTTATAATAAAGCTGTCTTGTTGATTTCTATCAGTGTCTGAGCCACAATCTCTCGCCTCTTTAGGATGCTCATTCAGGAGGAAACAGCACTAACCTGATCAGATGGGGTTCGACATCCTTGAGAAGAGTAAGAACTTGATGGACATCAAGTGACACTGCCATAGAACTGATGCAGGGAATGGGAATGGCTAAATCATGTAATATAAGAGGGAGTCTATCTACTTAATATGCAGAAAAATGCCTGGCCTTGTTGAAAGACCACCAACAGCTTATGTGATTCATTGTTCACTTTAAATAAAGTTTCATTTGATAAATAATCTCATTAGGTATCTTTCAACTCACCATTTTATCTGGAAAAAACACAGCTTTTGTCCGCTGGCAACCCTTTAAAGATGACACGATGCATGTGGGGTTTCTGTTTGTCTTGCATTTGTTTGCATTACACCCTTCATCAACTAAGCAATGATTTACAGGAAGGTGTGGTCAGAGATGAGGCCCAGCACTAGATGCAAAGTTCCTCTGGAAACAAGGGGGCCAGCTCTAGAAAAGGAAGCAAACTGTTGCTACGTCTCAAGAAAGTTGACTTGACTGCAGAGTTTTCTTGTGTAAAAAGGGCACTCTGCATGAATAATTATTAATACATTTCTTGTGTCTTATGTTTTAATGCCACAGTGATGTCAGCACTATAAAGTAGGCGATGATGTCAGTGGCATCAGTGCAGGGTTCCCTCAGTCTGAATGAGGGTCTATTCAGGGAAGAACACTGTTTGCTCTGCTTTAAAAAAAAACAAACAAAAGGAAGTTAATTAAATTTCAATGAACAGTGTGGTTGTGCATTTATGTGTGCTTGCGAGCTTTCTGTGCAATTGATCATGTGGGATGAATTCTTGTCAGGTTGTGAAAAATCTGTTGCTCTGAAAGGGCTAACACTGCAGGAGCAGGTTGTGGCCGCAGGTTACTCTCACCTGTGGTTTACGCTTGCGCGCACGTAGGCCCTGTGCACAGCCTCTGTGACAGCAGTGATTTGTACACTGAATAAATATGAAAATTAAATCAGGAGACGGAGGGATTTGATAACTTTGTTGTTGCTATGGTTACATTTTTATTGTCTTGCTTGTATTGGACACTAACAAATAAAATTATGGTAAACAGGAAATGAGATTCTGGTGTGGCTTGTGTTTATTGAATGACGAACACAGGATAAGCTTTGTATTCTATATGATCTCTTTTTAATATTAATGTCACTATCACCATTCTAATTTTCTTTTATTCATACTTTTAATCATATAGTACCCTTATACCACCACTTTTTCACTATTCAAATATAAGGGGTTTAGATTTAATGTGTAGGCTTTTACAAAGGTGCAGTACTTTTTTATTTCACTTTTTTATTTAGCTTTACTTGTTTGATAAGCTGCTTGATACTAACCTATGAATCATTCAATCATAAAATGATACATAACCTGTGGGATCAACCAGTCATGTGTCTGCACAAAACAGACAGCTTTGCAAAGAACCAATTTTAAATAGCATGTTGTTACTAGCAGCAAGTTGAATACCCAATAACCAAATTTCCCTTGTGGGACAATTAAAGGATTATTCTATTCTATTCTATTCTAATAAACATGAAACATGCCAAAGATGACATCGTTTGACAGGAATAAAATAGTATTTCTGCACCAATAAGGTGATTCCCAAAGACCTATCAGTCGTAATCTTGGCGTATCTGTCAGATACTACAGGCAAATTCTGATCCACCATGCAATACTGTTGTGAAAGCATCTTCAATGATCCCAAACAAACTGCCAATTTATTAGAAGCACCCGAATAAGAAAACACACAACAGAACATCATCATTCATGGATCGACCTCACCAGAGCGTAGACCCCAACCGACATTTCAATAAATCGCTGCATCTATTTTCCATTTTCCTGGCAAAACAACTCACAAAAGCCCCAAACCTACATATCCAGGAAAAATAAGTCGAGTAACTGAAAGCATGTGGTTTTACCATACTGTCACACCTGAGCACAGTAATGATAAGCTTACTGGTTTACTGCAGGAGAACCCATGAATCTGACCACGAGGCTGTCATAAGGTCACTGACTATTTTGATGTATGTCTGCTCAGTGTAATTATACTGGGGGAGTGGAGACGGGGTCTGAACTCTACTCGGTGAGGTGGTGACATTCAGTGGATTCAGCTGTGGAAATCTACTCAAGAGAAAGTATGGCTGTCACTATGTGGTCATGTCATAAAAATAAATAGAAAAAGAAGAGCCACGGCTGAAAAAGTTGTTTTAATAACAACTTCTCTGAACTACTGAAATTTAACACTAAATATTGATTTACTCAGAACCTCTTAACAGTAACAGGGAGAGAGAGAGGCTAGACTGACTTATTTCAGACAGGATAAACTGAGATTCTGCACAAAAGCATGGTGTAAGACAAATAAGGATTACTTTGAACTGTGAGTCATGCAAAGCCACTCTAGTATAGCTCAAAAAATAAAACTATGGAGCAGAAAAAGAGCACCATAGGTTAACTCCAATGAATGTCCAGGTTGCTGAGTTTGGATACTTACCATATAACCTCAGTGTCACCAAAGAAATTTCTGCCCCTCACTTATGTCGGTCTCCAGACTGCAATCAATGAATGGATGAATGAGAGAGAATAATTAACTATTGTTTGGAGCTCAGGCATCCACTGAACACTGACCTATATTTGAAATTTTAACAGCAGGAATTTAAATGTTACATCCACAACAATTCCACTTCTTTCAGCTTCCAAAATGAGTCTTTACTCGAAACAATGGAAGCAGATAATGAATGTCTGTCAAAGAAATTACATGATGTCAAGAAGACTGCAGTTCATCTTCCCTCTGTTTTGATTGATTTTTCACTCACGCTTTAGTTTTTTTTTTCCACAGTGAATTTCATAAATGTCCTAAGTTGTGGGTAAGTACACGAAAGGCTCAAATAATCTATTCTGTGGATGTTTGCGTGACATACCGATGAAAGCATGTTCTTGCTGCCCATCACCGTAAACTCAACCCCAGGCTGAGTGA